GGTAGCGACCTTAATTGCATCAATATCATCATTACTTCGTATGAGTACTAATTCCTGTTTCATATTCAATATAATTTTGCGGTAGTCTTCAAAAAAGCCCATCCACATGCTTAGAGGAATGCATACGTTGAATTTACCGGTTGATAAAAAGTGCGATTCTTTGGGATACCAACCAGCATTTTGTAATTTAGTACTTTCATTTTGATTGTAAGAAAGATAACCTTTCAATGTTGAAGTGAGTCCGACGTTTCGAACAGAATCAACAACAACACCATTCAACTCATATCGAATTTCTCGGAACAAAAAGCTAAATGCGTTATTGACAAATTTAAAGTTTTCAGATGGAGAACCATCAGCTTTAGTGAGTGTTCCTTCAAGGTAAAGATAGCTTTGGGACGGTAAAGTGAAGGTATCCAGTTCTTGAATAGCAATTCTAATTTCATCATTATAATCAAAATTAGCATTAATGTACGGTTGATAGGTGTGATACTCCATTTCAGTAATGGAGGTGTCAAGTAATGGCTGTTCTGTCACGTTCAAAATGCTCATGTTAGATCAATTGAAATTCCAACGACTTTAAAAACTGACGATTATCAATCGTTAGACGACGTCTATAATTTGGACGAGGTGACGGTACGTTGGTTGGTGGAGTACTAGCAAAAAAACTCTGCGAATCTTGTTTTTATAGGTTCGATTGGAAAGCACCGAATGTGGAATATTGTATCTAATACCCATTACGTATTTTGCGCAAGTGTAAACGTATGATAATGGTTTCGTTTCTAAAGTTTACAAGATCGTTGTTTTGATCAAATACAATCTCTCATAAAAACCCCCCTAAATTTTGGAATTATCAGTTGTTTAGCCAATTGAAGTAACTCTATATTAGTAAGAGCATGACGAGGGAGTTTTTTTAGCAGTTTTTTTTATAAGGTGCCAAATATAACCCTTTTCCTTGTTTAGATTGTTCTAACGCTAAATTGTGACGTTTTTGTTCAGCCAACTGAGCCTAATTGGTTTTCGCATCCGAGACTGCTTTGGCAATTGACGCCGCTCCACCTCCAAGTGCACCTAGCGCACCAAGTAGGGGAAGGAGGATAGGTAAAAATCCCCCTTTTTTAGGTATCGGTAAAAGTCTCGAGTTTTGTGTGATGCGTCGTTTTTTACAGAGATCTTGTCCGCTTATTAGTTTTTTTCGCAATCCTAAAATGCTTTGTGACTTGCGAATACGAGAAGAAAACTTTTTTCGACTCATGCCACTACCCAATTTCTGCTTCATCTTCATGACCGCTGAGACACCCAGTGCAGCTACTTTTTCACCAAGCGATGAATCCGATGCAGCAACCCGCTTGAGGGCGTGATCAATTAAGAGGTTATCGGCTTTACGACGAATTTCACTTTGTTTGGAGGTAGCGTAAACCAGATCGTGCTGCTTACAGGCCTCGTCTAAGCGATTAATTCCGGTATCACCTCCTCAATGCGTTGCTTTAAATTTGTTCCAGGTCCACAGAAATTATATCTCGGGATATGCAATTCAAGTGGTTCAAGTCGGTTTGTGACTGTTTCTCTCGCACGGAATGCAGTCATTTTATAGCTTCTAGCAAGTAACGGTTCTCAGATATATAGTAGACTGTGCTAGAAGTATTGATATCAGTACAATTTATAGGCTATCAGAATGAAGATCGAACCATCAGTCGTACAAGTTCGTGTAACGAATTTTGATGGACTTGCACAGGAAGGTGCGCTTAGAAAACATGGTAACCTATTCAATGGTACGTCTAAACGCGCGTTAGTTGTAGTTCCAAGCGGATCTGGTAAAACTAATGTAATGATCAGTTTGTTAACACATCCTAATGGATTGAGATTTGAGAACGTTTATCTGTACTGCAAGTCGCTGTACCAACCCAAGTACAAATATTTACAAGAACTACTAACACCGCTTCGCGAAATATGGTATTATGAATACAGTGAAGATGCAAACATTGCGACACCAGAAAACATTAAACCAAACTCCGTAATAATTTTTGACGACGTTTCATCATGTAATCAGGATATAATAAGACAATATTTCAGTTTTGGACGACATCGTAATACAGACTGTTTCTATCTTTGTCAAACGTATACTGCCGCACCCAAACATAATTTAAGGGATAACATAAACCTACTCATACTATTTCCTCAAGACAATTTGAATCTGAAACATATCTATGATGATCATATCAGCCTAGACATGTCATTCAACGAATTTAAAAGCTTGTACAGTTTGTGTTGGCAAGAGCCACATAGCTTTGTAGTGGTTGATAAAGATTCTCCAAGACAGGGAGGCAGGTATAGAAAGTGTTTTAGCAGCAACATAAATTTGTAACAGTAATATATATATATAATTATATATATATAACTATACTCTGTGCAAATCTTAGGGTAGTACTTATATAACATCGAAGGTAGACAGATGGATCCAAAACTGGCCAAAGAACTAGTCAAAACCAGGACGGTTAAACAAAAGTATCTCACACTTAAATCAGATATTGCAGCAACGGAAAGGGAATTACAGCAACAGTTTAAGCCGATCTCAGAACCGCTGCAAAAACTCTTATCAAAAGTTGAAGCACCTAAACAAGAATTGCAGATCAAAGAAGAACAATCTACACCCCCATCAGTGACATCCACACCGAAGAAACGACAATCATTCAATAAACAATTATCAGAAAATGTATACCAACGATATTTACCACCTGTCAACTACAGCTTTCTCGAGGATACATATTCAAACCTTCCGGAGCCAAATCGCAGTCAAGATGTATCTACCGTTGAAGAATTTACTCCAAATGCTACGGTGTTGGAGGCAGAAAACCAGCAAATCAATGAAAGCGTGGCTCGAGTGGCGCAAGAATTCCACCAACTAATTGATACACCTGCATATTAAGAGTATCTTGAAGGTTTTCACCCAGTACCTCGAAAATATGTTGATAAGTCAATTCGTGGGAACGAGCCCGAGTTTGATCGTTATTATGGATTAACATATGATATTGTTTCTGACAAGTTTCAACTCGGTAAAAGTCCGGTTACGCTAGACGGAGCAAATATCGTGGTGGAAAATGTAACATATCCTGGCACACCTGGATTATATGAACTGCTTTTCAAAAAAGAACCAATTGGTTATAAGCAGAGTGATCTAGATCAGTATATGGATATTCTAAGTCGCACAAATGCATATCGCAGAAATTTTGAACCTAATACTCAAATACAGGGTAGTACGTCCTACAAATATCTAAATATAATTCGACCATACTTACATCAGCAGCAGGGCATACTCAGATCCGGCTCCTTTGAGAAACCTCCACCTCCTAAGAGTCAGTTACGATGAACACACTCATTCAAACATACAGGTCAAGGAATGCTCCACTTATCAAATAAACCAATCGACTACATCTATTTTGATGATCCAAATGAATTGGTTGCTCGTTTACGTCTGTTGTTAGCTTCACAGTATGCTGGTAATAATGGACATCGTAACGAGATTATGTCTATAATTGAGGAGTTACGTGAATAAAAAAATAAAATGAGTTTGTAACGTAAAATTACTTTATTTACATTGCTGCAGTTGTAGGATCAAGATGCCGATTGATAAATTTGGAAGACATATGCTCCGCTCAAAGAAGACGGACACTGCTGCAATCTTCAGTACTTTTCTAAGATCCAACCTATCCAGCGTATGTGTGGTACCCATTTATTCCTCCACATCCAGCGAGCAGTTTTACACATTTAACGACAATAGCAAGGACTATATCGTTCCAGTGACTGGGATAGTTGATAGTATAAAAGTTCCGCCAAAAGTAAGAGTGACAATTGGTTTACCGACAACACACCTCTCACGAAAGGTGATATTCTCCATTTCTTCACATCTAAAGAACCCAGACCAGAGCAGCTTATAGCAAATATTGTAATGCGCTGTCCATTGATACAACAATGATCGACTTTAGAAAGCAGGTTGTTGAAGATCTTCATAAGCCAGCTCCCCGAAATTATAGACGTCGGCGCGTTATTGTGAAGGGGGTTAACGATCTCTTGCAGGCAGATTTGGTAGAAATGCTTCCGTATCAGAAAGTGAACAAAGGATTCCGATATATTTTAATTGTCATCAACGTTTTTAGTAAATTTGTGTGGGCAGAACCAGTCAAACGAAAAACCGGAAAAGATGTTACAACTGCAATGAGGGCGATTCTGTCGCACATGCAGTCAATTCCAAAAAATTTACAAACAGACTTGGGTAAAAAATTCTACAATAGTGATTTAAGTTGTTGGAAGAGTACAAAATTAATCATTACAGCACGTACTCATCGACCAAAGCAAGTGTGGTTGAAAGGGTGAATCGGACTTTAAAGAATCGCATGTGGAAGCAGTTCAGCCTTCAGGGATCATACAAATGGCTAGATATCCTATCGTCAGTCGTTGACGGGTATAATAACACCAAACATAGTACAATTGGAATCAAACCCAAAGACGTAAACAAACGTACAGAAAAAAGATTATTGAATACGGTTTATACACATTTGAAAACGGTAGATCCAAAGGGTGTAAAATATCAAACTGGGGATCATGTCCGCATAAGCAAACATAGAACAGCATTTGCTAAAGGATACACTCCTAATTGGTCCAATGAAATTTTTACAATTCGTAAAGTACAGTATACCAATCCTACATCATACTTATTGGCAGATTGGCGTGGTGACGAGATACTAGGTGGATTTTATGCTGAAGAGCTTCAAAAAGTCAAGTATCCAAACATCGATCTTGTGGAGAAAGTGGTTCGACGTAAAGGCAGTAAAGTGCTAGTCAAGTACTTAGGACTGGATAGCAGCTATAATTCGTGGATTAACAAAAGTGATTTACTTGTATGATAAATGTACCTCTATTTTGTCTAATGATTTCTATAGCACACTTTTTTTCAATAAAACACTCTACGTAATATAAGATTTTTATTACAAATATACTGAGAATAGTTAGGATAAGTAATTTGAATAAAAGTTCAGTGTTGGAGCCTTGTTGAATTCTTTCAAGTTTGGATATTGGTATGCCAGCTCCATAGCAGTCCTGATGTTCTCCGAATGCGGCAAATCAGAGATGTGTTGCATAATGAAGTCTCGCACATCGATGTGCTTGGTTTGTACATCCTGGAACTCCTGAGTTTTCAACATATTCATCGTATAGGCAATCAGCGGGGCTAATTGAAATAACTTCAATACGGTCTCTTTACCCAAATAAACTACATTACTCCACCGATCTGCAATTTTGATGGTTTGATAATCTGGAAATCTATCAAAGCTGATACAGAAGGAGTTACCTTGGATCGGATGGAAAATATCATCATGAAGAAAAAATTGGTTATAATGCCTTCTTGACTCGATACTTCATACCAGTCTTCTTCATTTAACGTAACGCCCTCGGTTTTTAAACCCTTGATATTGAGTACAGGTTGGAAGCTCCACTGATATGCTCGCCCAATAGTAATCCATTTTGATTTAGATGGATTTAGATGATAGCGTTGCTCCTGGATGACAATTAACGGTGGCTGAGCTACACCACTTTGTACAGATCATACCCCTTTGTCGTTCTGCACATTTGCAACGTGTTTGACACCACCGGCACTACTCATGTTGTAACACTATGTGAAATGTAGAAGACTGGTATGTGATGCTGAGTAGCTACTTTTATACAGTGTCGATACTCCCTCCACTCACAAACACTCCCCTCTCAAAAATTGGCGCAGGTGCAATGGAAAATGATACTACCATTCATGGAGATACATTTATTTATGATATATTTCTGTCAACACAGCAAGAATTATTGCGTTTTGGATAAACCGCATAAGACACTCAAACATGCAACATAATCTTCAAATTTGGTGGATGGCCATTTCACACCACATGGTCCAGAACTCCATCCTAGTGACTTATCTCCAATGTTACCTTTAGCTACGTTTTTCTTTAACCATTTAAATACAGTATAATGTCTTATCTTATTTTCTATATCAAATACAAATTTAATATCATGCTGCTGTATCACATCGATTAGACTCTTCAGTGATGCACAATCAGCCAGATATGCAATTTTACATATGGTTTCATCGATATGGGATACAGTGTTTTTATATCTCTTAGTAATATTTCTACAGGATGTGGTTTATCTACATCTTCATAGTTACTGTCAGATAACAACTTACAGAAATAGTATTGTTCATATGCTGATGGTGTGGAGTGCATGTTCGTCAGCAGGTCTCCAAATTCTTTGATGCTTAAAACCTCACAACCTGTATCCTTTAGACTTTGCAGCGTTTCCTGTACCACCCAGTCAAGATATTTCTTTCTTGTTATTACACTGGAAAGCACATCGGGGTAGTAACTATCTGCATTTGCAATCCAGTTGAATACTTCGTCGGTACTATAATTTCCACCAGTACAAAACTCAGCACTGGAAATTCTCGTTTTTCTGGATTTTGAGACACAAACTGTCGGAGATGTTTTTTCAACACCTCTTCAGTTACATGACATAATTGCATGAACAGTGAATAGTATGTCTTGGTACTAATCTTTAAAACTGAAGAAGGTGAGTGGGTGAAGCATATATTTATATTCTTGTCCCCACCACAAAGCTCAAATTTCTGATCATTTCATCTGATCACTAGTCAACTCACTGGCTTCGTTCATTAAGCGCAGCAAGAGTTCCAACCGCTCTCCGTCCGACATTTATGAAAGGTGATATCTTGATGACCCCAAGCTAATGTCTTTGTTGAGTTTGGTATCAAGAAACGTTTATCATCCATACTGGTCAATGTCACTTTTCTTATATAATTTGTGTATATATTGTGCGACTCCGATTTAAATACATAAATCGTACAGTACACATATGTCCGTTTCTCCTCAACAATATCTTTATAATGTAACAAATGTAATTGATGTTTCACACTCGCCTTAGATGTACCTTTAGCTCGTTTAGCCACTTGATCTACAGCATCGATACAGTATGCTGTGGGACCTGTACCATAAAAGGCAGACAGTACCTTGCCACCATATTCGTCTTTCATCTTACCCAACTCTGACGCTGTTCGAGGCATGTTATGTGGGTTGTCAGCATCATAATTGGATGTGTCAAAGTAATGCACGTGTGATTTCATGTCTTCATAGAAATTATCGGTTTCAACATGTACTATTAACGAATCAGTGTCCGTGTATGCTAAAGACACCTTATTACTATATTGGTGCTTCAGAAAGTTATAGAAAAAGTCATATATTACCGTTTTGAGACATCTAAAATACAAAATCCAACATATGTGGGACGGCAATAATCAATCATTGTTTTTTCCATTTGAATAGCTACTAAGTTTTCAGAAAATATTCTGTGTTCTTTAAAAGTTGGTTTACTAATATAATTTTCAGCACCTATTTTGTGTTTCGATTTTTCAAATTGAGTCGCTAATTTGATATTGACTCTGTTCTCCATGTTTTCAATCGTTTTGCCAAATATACAATTGATCATTGTTTGACAAATCTCTTTCAAACGGATTCAGTGCTGCATTTCTAAGTACCGTGTTTAACAGTATATAGGACTTTAACCACGCTGCTTGTGTGAATTTGATACCTCTATGAATTTTCGTTAAGATAATACCATGTTTCAAACATTGTTTTAGATTACGATAATGGATAATGTAGCGCTCTTTGTTGTGTAAATTTGGAATTAATTTTGAGCTTTGACTGTTGGGTGGTTTAAAATTTTCTGGACAAAATGGTAAATCATTGAAATAATCATGAAGCTCATTCGGTATTGTTAAATCAACTTCTAATGCATATCCAATATCCGATGTATCTGAAATTTGTGTAATGTTTCTTGAATCCTATCCATCTCATGTTGCGTCAACCAAGCAAAATGACCCGTCGGTGGTACAGCTGCATAGTATATCCATATAAGTTCGGCACATCAAGGTACATTAAGTACGATGATGCCTTTGATGGATCGTAATGAGGTAAACATTTATTGTTCGCCTCGACTTTCCGTGAGGTACATGTGCTGACTCCTCCACGAATCCCCTTTTTAAAAAAATGTACCATATCCACATCTGTAAGCAGCTCTAACTCTACTTTAGTATATGTAGCATTGCATCCCAACTCAAACCAGGAGCTGTAAAATAGTGAGCTGGATCCAGCTTGTACGTTTTTAAACACAAATCTCTAAAATTTTCAAAGATATCTGTTAAAAGAAGAACATCCGAAGTCAAGTAAAGTCCGAGTATTCCCCCAAATTTTTACACCCCATTACTTCCCAAACATGATGTGCCCGCTCATAATCCTCGTCTGCAATGTGTTCATCACGTATTTCGTCATAAAAGTCTTGGGGATGGTAAACATGTTTTTATTGTATTTATCAAATGTTTTTAAGATATGTATAGGGAAATATACCTTTACATCTCAGGAGAATCTTTGTCGTCCTCGGGAAACACTTGTTCGTACTGTCCGACATTGCTCTGCACTTAAAAAATGCCATGTTTCCTAATTTTGACGACAGAAACTGATATGAATCGACAAATCGCATTTGCAAAAACGGTTTTTTGTTTTTCCCCTTGGGAAATGTACGTGTCTACCGGTACGAATTTTGTAAATGACACATATCTTTCAAAAGATTGTGGAATCACTTTAATTTGTTCTTGATTCATAGCTAAGTGTTTTATGAATAGATGAGCATCATAGTTCTTCAGATTGTGGAAAATATTGGAATATAGTTCGGAGTCTTATAATTGAGATTGCATTTACTATGCGCCGCACCACGATATTTCCCTGTGAAATGACAGCGATCCCTAACTTTTATATTTGTATTGGTGAATGGTTGTTCACAAATGAAACATGACTCTGCTTTATTAAACGAAGCTTTATCGTACGTAGTCATTTTCATTTCTACATTTTGTGTTAAATATTGATATATTAATTTAAGATCAGCCTCTAATCGAGCAACAAAAATTTTTGCTGCATCCTCACCCCTATATAGTGGCCAATTTGGATAGTGAATCATTAAATGAGCATTTGATGTAATAAGCAAATGAGGATGGTTTATGTTCATACTTTCTGATGGTACTTACATCCTCTGAATCGCTTGAGTCATTTTCTATCGGAGCTAGAATGCATTCAAAGTCGGTATAAACGCAAAATGGTAGCCTTAATTGTTTGTGATGCTGTTCACATTTTAGTATATTATCCATTACCACCGTGTTTCCAAGTCGATTAACTCTCGTTTCCAATTTTGGAACCTTAACTGAAATATTTTGCAATAGGTTCGCATGTGAATTTCTAATTTTTCTTTTGAGGCAAAGTATTGTAAAAACCCATCACAAAAGTGCTTTACTCTCGTATTCCGCGACAACTGACTTGAAACAAGTCTTGAAAAGTTGGTAATTAAGCAGTAATGATGGTTTCCTTCTGAATCATCAATAAGTAATAAGTTTAGATGAGTATGTTGTTTTTGCGCGGTGTAGTGTAACGGTCCCAGCACCTGATATTTAGGCTTCCCATCAATGAATTCCTTTTCTAATCCATAAACGTTGCTTGATATGTTATTCACGCTTTCACATTCTGATATTGACTTGAGAGCGACTGGAAATGTCATTCCAGCAAAGTTTAAGCCCGGAACATTCGAAAAATGTAGATATGACGTTGTTAGTGATGATCGACCTTTTGGTTTTACCATACCAGCTACAATTGACCATGCAAAGCAGTACTCATCGTTATTACGTATATTGAGTACTGCTTTTTTGTTCCTAATTTCCTTTGGAAGCGGCAAATATGATGCTGCTCTCAAAGGATTATATTTATTAATATTAATTTCTAAATATAAAGTCTTTTCTAACACCCACCCTGAGTCTTTTTCTGCAAAATCTTCAGATTTTTGCTCTATTTTACTTTCCAAATCATGATAGATTGCTTTTAAATTTGATGATTGTGTTATGATTCATTGTTTGTATTGTGGGACTTCACCTCTCGTCGGCTTTTAGCTGGTAAGATATATAAACCAAAAAGTTCCATATTTATTTTGAGCGTTGTTTGCTTATGCAATTCATTTTCAATCACGTTTATGGAGTCATGTTCAAGATTATTCATATATTCAGTAACGTTCAACGTGTCTATACTGGCGGTTATTTGATAACTGACTATTCTACCCCGAAATGCACTTCGACATACTGACACATTATTGTGTAAAGGTGTCCATAGATGTGCCTTATGTTTGATGCTTTTCAGATGTGCTGCATGTGCATTCCTCGGTACCTCACAGTTGCAACTATCACAGCGAATTGTTCTGCTTTCCGCACTCGTCTGTGAGTCGTTACTGGTGGTTGGACTCATTCGACTCGGTCCCGGTATTGCAACGTTGGCTGTTGAAGGATCCAGTCGTCTGGTATTGAGTCCTGTGGTGGTCTGGGTGATGCTAGCTGTAATAATAAGTTCATAAATATAAGTTATTTAATTTGGCTTAGTTTTTGTAACTTTACCTTCTACACGTTGTTGTTCGGGTGGACTCTTCTCGCTTGTGCAGACCTCTCTACCATGTCGCAGTAAACCTTTTCGTGCCGAGAATTTTTGCCGGCATCGAGGACATTCCCACTTGTCTGCAGTGCTGCGTGGAGCGGTTGCATTACATGGACGCTTGGATGCGGGCTCCTCATCCTGGCTGCACCTCGCTCTACAGTGTCTCAACAAACTTTTCCTCACCGCGAAGGTCCTTTGGCATTTTGGACATTGGAACATTTTGTTGTGAGGCGTGCACGTATCTACTGTGTTTCTCACACATAAATCATTTATATAATAATATTATTTATGCACCTCGCGTTCTCTAGTGGCATCTGACACAAAAAAACATTAGCTGCTGTACATTGATTTGACCTATTTGCAGGTTTCGTTTTTTTTGTCCCATTTCTACATATCAAGTTCGCCAACTCTTCGATCCACGTGTCGCGATTGAGTTGTTGATTCACAACACTACGTTCTGTCGCGTCCCGTTCAAGTTGCGTGAACGGCAACTCTTCGATGTAGGTGTCACGATTGAGTTGCTCATTCACCACACAACGTTCTGTCGCGTCCCGTTCAAGTTGCGTGAACGGCAAGTCTTCGATGTAGGTGTCGCAATATCACTCGCAATCGCGGCAGACACAGATGGCTCTTGCTGTTTGAGGTAGCTCCCGACATGGATGGCCTTGGCTGAGCTTCCAACAAATTGATCTCAAACGATGGCCAAGCATTCATCGTTGTAGACATATCAATGTCCGGATTGATGGATGCTAACACTGCCTCAATATCGATCTCATTTGAGGAGTTCTGTTGACTTTGGGCGATGTAATTGTTAAGCATGGTTTGCGAGCCCATGCTAACAATTTCGATGGATAACTCATCATTCCCCGAAGTACTAGCCATCGTTTGCGGGTGCCCGTTCAGCGAAGAGTCAACGGTTTCGCGTGGTGGCACAACTTGAACACACACACAATATATCACAATCCATCCCCAACCATCATGTCAAATAAAAACTGTAATATCAGGTTTTTTTTCTTTGTATACTGGAAGTCCTTAGCTTTAAGAGATCACCATAAAGGATTTCATGCTCATAATCCATATTCATCCTTCTGACATCACCTATACCTTTCCTTGCGTACATACTTCCTTTCAATATTTCTACCTTTTATTCATATTTTTTATTTTTAGGAGTAATTTCCTTCCGTATCTTTGTCCCTGATGATTTTATGCTTTTGTTTTCCTATTGCTAACGTCTTCCTATTACCCATATCTTCTATTTCTATATTCCGTTTAGCGACATGCATTATTTTATTTTAGGGGTAATTCACCCCTATTTATTTGTCCTGTGAGTATTACATCATTTTGTTATTAGAGGTAAAGTTATCGGTTTTGCGGATGATACAGCTATTCTCTATGAAAGCAACCAGTGGCATACACTAAAAACCACAATCGAACATGATTTCAAAACATTTATAAATTTCTTTTCGGAAAGAACTTTGACAATTAATTACAACAAAACACACTATATAGCATTTTCTTGTAACGACAGGCTCTCACCGCGATTTAAAAAACTTGAAATTCATACAAGCAGTGGTCTCAAAGAGATTCAGTCAGCCGATAAAATAAAATACTTAGGCGTGATTTTGGACAAACACTTAAAATGGGATACCCATACAGAGTACCTTGTGAAGAGACTGAGATGTATTATTCCAAAATTCAGGTACTTCAGAGATATTCTAGATAAGAAATATCTATATAATCTATATTATGCTCTTGTTTATCCTCTATTACTTTACACCACCACCCACATAGTTCCATAGAGCGGTTCCATCTACCACGAAGTGAGGGTGGCAGAGGAATACCTTGCATACCTACACTACATTACCGCCAAGTGGACAATCTAGGCCAGTACTTCCTCCAAAAAGCCACATCGAGCAGAATGCATCAAGCAATAACACAGACGGATAAAAAGTTGTCACCACTAAACCTTTCAGAAACATCTTTCAACCCTGAGGCAAAGATAATCCCAATGCAGGATCTGGTTCGCCAATGGACAGCCAAACCACTAAATGGTCGGTATAGGAGCCGCATAGAATACAACGCCATTGACACGAAGGCTTCCCAAGGATGGTTGCAGTCAGGTAATCTGTTCCTGGAGACGGAGGGCTTCATAGCCTCCATCCAGGATCAGGTAGTCCCAACAAAGTTATACCGAAAGCGTATAATGCATGAGAACGTTGAAGATATCAGATGCCGCATATGTGGGAAAAAAGATGAGCACATAGATCATATTGTAGCAGTCTGCTCTCCCTTAGCTCGTAAACAATATCTTGAAAGACGCAATGATGTGGCTAAAATACTTTATCAAGCTTTGGCTAAAAAGCATCTAGGAGAAACTGGTACACAGCCCTACTATAAATACACGCCGCCACCTGTGATAGAAACGGAGACCTCTAGGCTGTACTGGAACCGTAAAATCATAACTGACAGGCCCATCCCCAACAATATTCCTGACATAGTGCTCACACTAAAAGAAGAAAGAACGACGTTTATAATAGACATAGCTGTGCCTCTTCCTAGTAATATCCAAACCACCCATGCGGAAAAGATCAAAAAGTATTTACCACTCTCCGACGAAATAAAACGCATGTGGGAAATGGGCAATGTGTCTGTAATACCAGTTATCATAGGAGCTACTGGAGAGATACCAAGGAAACTACACAAGAGTCTGGAAAAGCTACAGCTCCATCCAAAAATATACTTGCAGTTGCAAAAAGCTGCACTGCTGGGAACATGTAGGACAGTACGTAGGGTTTTAGGAGATGAGAACCGGATACGGTGAAAAAACCGCTGCAGATCTATTTTCTTACTTTGGCGGTTAGCCTGAGGGAAATATTAATACCTTCGACAGAGGAGTAAAATAGTATAAAATAATAATAATTATAATAATAACTATAATGATAATAATAATAATATTAATATAAAATAATAGTAATCATAATTAAATAATATAATAATAATAATAATAATAATATAAAAATAATAATAATAATAATAATCATATTAATAATAATAAAATAATTATTATTATTATAATAATAATAAAAATTATTATTATTATTATTATTATATAATAACAATAATTATATAATAATAATATATATATAATAATAATAACAATAATAATAATAATAAACAATAATAATAATAATAAATAATAAAACAATAATAATAATAATTATTATTATATAAGGTAATTTTAATAATACTAATAATAATAATAATAACAATAATAATAATATTAATAATAATAATAATGTATTAATAAAATAATAATAATATAATAATAATAATATAATAATAATAATAATAATTAAATAATAATAAAATAAATAATAATATAATAATAATATAATAATAAAATATAATAATAAGGGGTCTGGCCGGTAAGGGGACTGCCGCCAAAAGTTTCAAACCCGCTACCGTAACGACGTAGACGGTACAGCCCAGCGCAACGTCTGGCCTTAACCCAACAGTTAAGCTACTGATATTAACACCGAATGATAGTCAGTATGGCCACACCTTCCATTTATCCAGGCGTGGTTTTTGTCCCCCTTCCGCGCCTGAGTTTTAACATTTTTAGGTAAACAATTACACCTACTTATAAAAAGAGAACAAAATCACCCAGAAATGGAGAAGGAACAAAATGAAGCCTCGGAATGTAACGACGTAATCGGGACTCGTCGCTATGCGACGAGGTCCGCGTCCGGCAGGGAGCGTAGGGGAAGGTCGCACCCGGTCGTCATCCAGCGAAATCCCCCCAACATCACCACATATACAAATACTTCACTGAATGACCTAACACAACACCACCAAGCGGTCAATGCTGGTAATAATGTTGCTGTGGACGCATCGCCCCAGCCCATGTACCAGCCCATAGTAGTCGGCAGAGAACCACTTGGATGACAGAAATGAATGAGTACGTGGTTCGCTGTACTATAGAATTACCAAATTGCAAACTTCACAGGAACCTTATGGTGCTGAATTGCATAAATTAGTGACAGAAAAATTTCCCCAGTTAAGACAAAAGACACTGCAGAACATCCTAGACCAGCGCAGATCTATATTTGTGAAGCAGATTGCCAGCGGAGAGAAGATATAATTAGGCATGAAGTAGCAACCGAATTGGG